TCTCGTGAGTATGGACCTGCATGTGGTTAGTGCAGGCAGGATGTTGCATGATGAGAAAGAAAACTTGAAGACGATAACGACGGTGAAGAAAATCATCGTGTTGATGGATTCGAAGCAGAAGGGCGATCATCCTCCCGGTGGACCTAATAAGAAGGTCCCTGGGTCTGCTGATCTTGCCGATACTACCATCAACCAAAGGAACTTTGCAGGCCACACTACTACTACTCCACCTCCTCCACACGATGCATACCCGAATAATGCCGTGGCTAGATCACTACTCGGCGTGGCTACAGATCGTTAATCATTTATTTGAATGATTAACAATAACTACAGAAATTCCAACCTATTAAGATACATCAAATTATGTGATATAATATAGTGTTTATTGTGCAGAATAAATAATGGGGAAAAAACCTATATAATGTGATATAATATAGTGTTTACTGTGCAGAATAAGTAGAGGGGAAAAACCCTAGTTGTCTTTGTATTGGTTGCAGCACACTCTACTTGAATAAGAAAATAGACGAATTCTCTTACAAATATCTTATTTTCTTCTTTATGCAGTATGAGAGTTGAGACGAATAGAATGTAAGACGTTTTATTCAAGCACTATGAGATGTTTCAAAGAACAGTTTAAAATGTTTCATTTGAAAGTCAAACATAAGCATTATGGTAACAAAAACGTCATCAAAAGATGCGTTGCCCGAACACTATCATCATGGGGTAAAACAAAGAAATATACAAAAAAAAAAAAAAGAAAAAAAGCACATACAAGCGTTTACAACCATATCTCCTAATATTGAAATCTTCTAATCAGTCGTGGAAATGTCAAGTTAGACTTGGTACACTAATGCAGTGTGCCTCGGTAAATAACCATCGCATCATAAAACTGATGACTTAGAGCAAACAGAAAGCTTATAACAATGGAGAAAACTATAAAGCTAGGAAGAAGCTATCGAAGAAGAAAGAAAGGCAGAGAGAGGACTTATTATATTTCTTTATTCACAACACAATGACCTTTAGAGTCTTACATTTCACATTATATATGGTATTCTTATCAGCATTACTATTACAAAAATACCCTTCAACTACCTCTTCTTATCACAACCAAACTAACCAATAATACTAACTAACTCATTAGTTCTAATCATGACAAGTGTCAGCTATTACTCCCCCCTCAAACTCAGCGAGTAAGAAGCTGAGATTGTTCCTAACCATGCTCATAGATCACAAATTGGAGAGTATCAGTGATTGTTGATGTTGAAGCTGTTGCAGCAGAACTCATAGATTGTACATCAAGAGTAGAAGCACCCAATGCTAGAGCATGACAATGTTTGATGAACACAGGGCTGTGTAAACCCTTTGTTAAGACATCAACAACCTGATCCTCAGTGGGAATATACTGAACCATTATATCCTTCTTTTGTACCTTCTCTCGAACAAAAGGTAATCCGTGTCTAAGTGCTTTATCTTGGAATGAAACATTGGATTTGAACAGATTGCCAACGCAGACAAATTATCACAATGTAAACAAGGGGTATGTAACAACACCTGATGAAGATCTTTGAGAAGTGACCTGATCCAAAACACATATGCAGCACAGTGAGCTAGTGCTTTATATTCTGCTTTTATAGAGCTGCGAGAAACTGTTGATTGTTTCCTAGATTGCCACGATATTGGATTATTGCCTAAGAAAACAACGCCTATGATAGACCTCCACTACTACAATATTAGCTTTAGGTGTCGGATGATCCTGTCGGTTAATAAGTCATTCTGACGGATAAAAAGTATCCGACACATAATTTATTTACTGTCGGATTAAAGTTACTTTCTGTCGGATATATCCGACAGAAATTCCTGGCGGATTTTTCCTGGCGGATTTAACCCTCAGTATTTTTGAATTCTTTTTTTTTTAAATATTTTTAACGTATTCTGGTGGGTTTTAAGTTAATAGTGGCGGTTATAACCGACAGAAATTGACTATTTTATTATTTTAGTTTCTGGCGGTTATTATTTTATTATTCTGACGGTTATAACAGACAGAAAATGACTATTTTATTATTTACAATGTTATATTGATTAAAAATAAATAAATAAACAAACAAATGGTTTAAATATTTTTTTTTCACTCACAGTCCCGTTCACTAATCTCTGAATGTTTTTTTTTTTTTGGAGACTTTTTACACATGCTATCTCGGAGTATATACAAACATATTTGACTGTTGGATCGTTGAAACTAGTTTCGTAGAATGCATATCCTATCAAATTGATAGATTTAACAAACACTTAAGAGTTAATGTTATACTTCCATTAAGTATAAAAAATTATCCACTAGTGTAAATATTTTAAATTGAAGATCGAATTTATTCAATACATTCTTATAGGGTCGAGGAGTGTAGCTGTAAAAAATTATCAAAATTGGAGCAAAAATAACCGTTAAATTATGATTTTTTGTTTATAACCGTCGAAAACTTTTGTTCTGTTACCTAATCTCTGAATGTTTGTTTTTTGTGATTTTTTAGGTATGCCATCTCGGAGTATATACAAACATATTTGACGGTTGGATCGTTCAAAATAGTTTCGTAAAATGCATATCCTATCAAATTGATAGATTTAACAAACACTTAAGATGATGTTATACTTCCATTAAGTGTAAAAAATTATCCACTAGTGTAAATATTTTAAATTGAAGATCGAATTTGTTCAATACATTCTTATAGGGTCGAGGAGTGTAGCTGTAAAAAATCATCAAAATTGGAGTAAAAATAACCGTTAAATTATGACTTTTCGTTTATAACCGTCGAAAACTTTTGTTCTGCTACCTAATCTCTGAATGTTTGTTTTTTGTGATTTTTTAGGTATGCAATCTCGGAGTATATACAAACATATTTGACGGTTGGATCGTTCAAACTAGTTTCGTAGAATGCATATCCTATCAAATTTATAGATTTAACAAACACTAAGAGTTAATGTTATACTGTAAATATTTTAAATTGAAGATCAAATTTGCTCAATGCATTCTTATAGGGTCAAGGAGTGTAGTTGTAAAAAATAATCAAAATCGGAGCTAAAATAACCATTAAATTATGACTTTTCGTTTATAACCGTCGAAAACTTTTGTTCTGTTACCTAATCTTTGAATGTTTGTTTTTGTGATTTTTTAGGTATGCGATCTTGGAGTATATACAAACATATTTGACGGTTGGATCGTTCAAACTAGTTTCGTAGAATGCATATCCTATCAAATTGATAGATTTAACAAACACTAAAGATAATGTTATACTTCCATTAAGTATAAAAAAAATCATCCACTAGTGTAAATATTTTAAATTGAAGATCGAATTTGTTCAATGCATTCTTGTAGGGTCGAGGAGTGTAGGTGTAAAAAATTATCAAAATTGGAGCAAAAATAACCGTTAAATTATGATTTTTTGTTTATAACTGTCGAAACTTTTGTTCTGTTACCTAATCTCTGAATGTTTGTTTTTTTGTGATTTTTTAGGTATGCGATTTCGGAGTATATACAAACATATTTGACGGTTGGATCGTTCAAACTAGTTTCGTAGAATGCATATCCTATCAAATTGATAGATTTAACAAACACTTAGGATGATGTTATACTTCCATTAAGTATAAAAAATTATCCACTAGTGTTAATATTTTAAATTGAAGATCGAATTTGTTCAATACATTCTTATAGGGTCGAGGAGTGTAGCTGTAAAAAATTATCAAAATTGGAGCAAAAATAATTGTTAAATTATGATTTTTTGTTTATAACCGTTGAAAACTTTTGTTATGTTACCTAATCTTTGAATGTTTTTTTTTTGTGATTTTTTAGGTATGCGATCTCGGAGTATATACAAACATATTTGACGGTTGGATCGTTCAAACTAGTTTCGTAGAATGCATATCCTATCAAATTGATAGGTTTAACAAACACTTAGAGTTAATGTTATACTTCCATTAAGTATAAAAAAAATTATCTACTAGTGTAAATATTTTAAATTGAAGATCGAATTTGTTCAATACATTCTTATAGGGTTGAGGAGTGTAACTGTAAGAAAAGAAATGGTGAGAAGTTAAAAATGGTGTGTCAATTAGTAGTGGTATTCATCTTCCTTAGTACTACTAAGTATAAAAATTTAGTGTAAATATTTTAAATTAAAGATCAAATTTATTTATTTTTTTTAAAACGTATTCTATTTAAATACATATGATTTATTTAGGGATACTTTGGATGCAGTTCGTAATCCTTAACATTATTTGATTAAAACCTTAATAGTATTCAAAGTTTGATCAAGCTCCCTTGACTTTGTACACCTCATCATATTATTATTAATATTAATATTTATATTGTTTTGACATTAAATGTTTGATATTTTAGGAGATTTATAATCCTATAAATTTAAAATCCCTCGTTAAATGTTTAATATTAATGATGTTATTAATACCTAAGAACCTTGATCAAAAATTGAAAATAAGATTTTAATCAATGGAGTAGCAAAAAGAAGAACGTGAACCTAATTTTTTAATTTATTTATTTATTAAACCAAACAATAATAATTTTATTTTTTAAAATTGTAACAAAATTTTAAGGGGGGGAATTTAAAATTTTGGGAGGGAATTTAAAATTTTGGAAGGGAATTTTGGGAGCAATTTGGCGGCCATATTTTTTTTCTGTCGGTTATAATCGACAGTAATGAGCATTTTCCAAAATAAAACCTATGAAGTAGCTGAAAAAAGAAATGGAAGCTGAGCCATCTAGAAGAAGACTGAGAGCCCCAAACCCTCTCTTCGATTGCACCAACACCATTTCCTCCACCACCACCCTAGCCAGTGCCGCCTCTTCACAGTCCTCATCCTCCTCCACCGTCAAGCTCAAACGCCAGAATCCCATGGTCGCAACTTCAATCACTTTGTAAACAGCACATGATTCCTGCAAATTTGAAGAACACTGAAATGGCCAGTAGGCTCACTTTGCTTCTCAAGGTAATCCCATCTTAAAGAGCAAAATTCCATCTTTATTATATACATATCGTATGTTTTCGTCGTTCTGATTATTTTCTTCAGTCTTGTTTTGTGTTTGGATGCCGAGAAAATTATTGAGAAGAAAATTCTGGGTTTCAAGTTCTGGGTTTCTTGTTATATTTTCAAGAAGTGCTCGACTCAATTGGGGAAAATGCGTGCGTGTGTGTATGGGGGTGATGAAGAACCCATTGAGCCAGTCTGTAAAGATATAGAAGAAAATGAAGGGGAAATTGATTCTGACCTTCTTCAGTCTGCTTGTCGACACAGAGAAGGACGGCCACCGGATTTCTTTCAACAACACTTTCAAAGAGGTAATTTTTCACACTGGGTTTTCTTGGTTTTGGTGGATTGCTGTGAATTTTTTTATTGGTAAGCTCATAAAGTGATGAACTTTCAAGAGAAGTTGGAATTTTCAATCTGGGTTTTGTTGCTTTTGGAGAAGTTAATTAGCTTTTGGTAGAGCCTTTTACTTTGATGGGAATTATTTGCAGAAGTCGATAACTTTCATGGGTTAATTAGTTTAGTGACACTGCATAATTTGATTGCACAGAAAAAATTGGGTGTTACTTGGGATGTTGATTTATTCGGCGAATTGCTCAAGTTTGCAGGTGGAAAAGAAAGGCAATTACAATCCAAAGAAGAAACATCCGCTGAAGAGGAACACAATGGCTGTCAAGCATGTCAGAGAAATGATGCAGAGGATCCGTAATTCTTTGAAAAAAGATTTCCAAACCATGTGTGACGAGGATGATGATGATACTAATTCAGAGCATTCGGAATGCAAGCAGCGGAAGGCAATGGTGAAGAAGAACAAGATCAAGAAAGGCACGGGAGGCTCGATGAAGACCGCGAAGAAGAAGAGAAATGCTCTGAGCAATGGCTCGGACCGTTGGTTATGCAACTCATGTATTTATGATTACCGGGGATAAGGGAATTCGAACTTGAAACTCAATAATTGAAAATCATAGTGACTTGTTTTCTAACGTGTTTTGGTGTTTTAGTAGGCACAGTTCTGTGTATTAGGTGAATTTAAATTTGTGAAACTCATGCATTACCAAGGAAACCTTATTTGGACAACACCGGAGTAAAAATGAACTGAATTATCGAAGAGGTGTACACCAATTAATCCAGAAAAGAACATGCTGAGAAGAATAAGCATGTTGAGGTTTTCGAAGATTATGAAGGACTTGAATTATCGGTTGATATAAATATTTTTTTTATTATTAAAATATTTTCTGTCGGTTTTATCCGACAAGAATGATTTTATTTATTTATATTAATAAATTCTCTGTCGGATTTAACCGACAGAAGTCCTGGCGGATTTGGTGTTTTCTGTCGGATAAAACCAACAGAAATCCTGGCGGATATAATATTCTTTGTCGGTTTTAGAGTATTTCCTGTCGGAAAATTTATTTCCTGACGCTAGCAATTCTGTCGCTTAGTGTATCCGTCACTGCATCCATTTTCTGTCGGATTTTGCTTAAAATCCGACAATAATATATGTTTTTTGTCGGTTTTTGGACCGCCAGTTATAGGTAATTTTGTAGTAGTGCTCCTTGTGTTGATATCTGCAGCCCAATCAGAATCTGAGAATGCATTTATAGAGCAATCTGTACATTTTGTGTATCGCAATCCATAAGTACTCGTGCCTTGTAAATACCTCAAAATCCTTTTGACTAAATGAAAATGCATCTCAGTCGGATTAGTCATGTATTGGCACATCACATTTACAGAGTGAGCTATGTCAGGTCGAGTAAAGGTTAAGTATTATAAAGCTCTTACTATACTCCTGTATTGAGTTGGATCAGTCATTGGCACTCCTTCTGTGACAATGAGTTGTGTATGTGGTTTAGAAGGTGTGGATGTAGGTCTGCAATTCTCCATACCAGCTTTATGCAGGAGATCCCTTGCATATTTAGACTGGTTGATAAACAGAGATCTATCTTCTTGATACTGAATTGGCAAACCTAAGAAATAAATGAGTCTGCCTATATCTTTTAAATCAAATACCTCTGCAAGATCGTGAATTGAATCTGTACCTCACTTGAACCAGTTAGGATGATATCATCCACATACAACAGAAGAATAACTACACCTTTGTGATCAGATCTCACAAATAAACTTGTATCAGAAATAGATGTCTTGAATCCCAGAGATGGCAAATAACTTGTGAATTTAGAATTCCAAGCTCTCGGAGCTTGTTTAAGACCATACAAGGACTTGATTAATTTGCAAACATGGTTTGGATATTTTGAATCAACAAAACCTTGAGGTTGCTTCATATAGACCTTTTCTTCCAAATCACCATGCAGAAAGGCGTTTTTAACATCCAATTGTCTGAATGACCATCCGAATTGAACAACTAGAGTTAAAATGAACCTGACAGTTGTATGCCTAACCACAGGACTAAAGGTCTCTGAGTAGTCCAAACCCAATTCTTGAGTAAGGCCTTATGCTACCAATCGGGCTTTATATCTTGAAACAATCCAATTATGATTCTTTTTAACCTTATACTGGGTACTGTTTAGATAAATAAACGGTTATGGGTATAACCGTTTACCCGGGAAATTTAAATGGTGGTTATGAGTATTAACCGCGGTTATAAACGGGTAACCATTTACCCATTTATTTTTATATAAGTAAAATTAACACAAACCATGTTCCTATCGGACAAAACTTAGATAAATGCTATTGACTATAGTGCATGATTTCTATAGCTAATATAATATAGTTTTTCTTAACCACTTTAAATTTTATGGTCCATTATATATATTATGTTAATATTTTACATTCTGAGTTAAATAACCCAAGAATACTGTCTTTTAACAGTTTTCGTAACCCAAGAATACTTAGCAAATTTTATATTACCTTCATTGCTAACAGTTAAAAATATTGTCTGTAAACTATTATTAATTATTGGAATGATATAAGGACTTAAAAAATTAAAATGCGGAAATGTATGATGAATGTACCTATAACGGTGTTTAATTGTTAGAAAAAGAAAATTACGACAAAATTTTCTTTTTTAATTTTCAAGTTGTTAAAAAAAACACATAGACGGATGAAAAATGAGTAAATGATAAAAAAGAAAGGATAAACGAGTTTAAAAATGATAGCATACATAAGGCTGCCAACTAAAGAAGCATATGGTTTCATCTTCATCAATTTAGTCTCAGGTTCATTTTTAGGACATTGATCTCAAGAGAACTTATCACCCTTATTTACAGGAACATCAGCCTTATTGCAACTTTCCATATTAAACCTGTTAAGCACTCTTTCTATATATCCCTTCTGAGATAAACCAAGAAGTTTCTGTCTTCTGTCTTTCACGATTTCAATTCCGAGAAACATAGTGAGCTTCCCCAAGATCCTTCATTTCAAAGTTTGAACTCAGCATGCTCTTAGTCTCTTTTAGCAACTGTACATCCGAACTTGCAAGCAAAATGTCATCGACATACAAGACCAGAAAAATGAACTTGGATCACTTGAACTTAAGGTAGATACAATCATCCATCTTGTTTTCAATAAACCCTTGTGAAGTAACTACTTGATCAAATTTCAGAAACCATTGTCTTGAAGCCTGTTTCAAACCATAGATTGATTTATTCAATTTACAGACCATATCCTTTTTCCCCCTTTCAAAAAATCCAGGAGGTTGTGACATAAAGATCTCCTCATCAAGTTCACCATTCAAAAATGCAGTTTTGACATCCATCTGATGCAATTCCAGGTCAAAATAACCTGTCAAGGCCATTATCACTCGCATGGAGTCCTTGGAAGAAACTGGTGAAAAGGTGTCATTGTAGTCAACACCCTCCCTTTGTGTGAATCCCTTTGCAACTAATCGAGCTTTATATCTCTCAATTCTTCCCTGAGCATCTCTCTTGGTCTTAAATACCCACTTGCAGTTTACTGGTTTAGTGTTATCTGATGGCTTTGCTAAAGAGCAAACATTGTTTTTTGCCATTGACTCAAGTTCCTCCACCATGGCTTGCTGCTATAAGACTGCTTGAGGGCTTTTGATAGCTTGTTGATAGGTCATAGGATCATCTATATCACCATAATCAAATTCTGTCTCTTGAAGATACACATAGTCTTGTGAGATCACAGCTTTCTTGATTTTGTTAGACTTCCTGATCTGTGGTTGTTCAGTCAAATTCTCATTTGTTTGAACATTGAGATTTTGATTCCGAGTCTCTGATCGATTCTTAATGCTTGCTTGATCATTGCTCTCAGCTTCTGCCATATCATCATCAAGATCATCGGCATTTGAATGAGTTCTTTGCAATACTGGTACTTGATTGTAGATTAATTGAGAACAACTTTTCTGATTGCACCATCTTTTCAAAATCGAATTTTTCATGTGCCATATCTAATACATCTTCATCCTCCATAAAAATGGCATTGTGAGTTTCTTGAATCCTTGTGTATGCTTGTGTACAATAGAATTTGAAACCCTTTGACTTTTCTGAGTAACCGATGAAATAGCATGTAGTTGTTCTTGGATCCAATTTCTTCTCACTCGGGTTGTAGAATTTTTCTTCAGCTTTGCATCCCCATACATGAAAGTGATTGAAGCTTGGCTTTCTGCCATGCCATAATTCAAAAGGTGTCTTAGGCATGGATTTTAAGGGCACTCGATTTATAATATAGCTTGCAGTTTTCAATGCCTCTCCCCAAAGAAAATTTGGGAGCTTGGATCTTGAAATCATGATTTTCACTATTTCCATAAGAGTTCTATTCCTCCTTTCTGCCACTCCATTCTGTTGTGGGGTACCAGGAGTGGTATATTGAGCCACAATCCCTTGACTTTCAAGAAAATGAGCAAATGGACCATTTTGTTGCCCTGCTTCTGTATGCTTGCCAAAGTATTCACCTCCCCTATCTGATCTAACAACTTTAATCACATGGTTTAACTGTTTCTCAACTTCACATTTGAAGACTTTAAAACATTCAAGGACTGCCGATTTCTCACTTATTAGGTAAACATAACTGAATCTCGAGAAGTCATCTATGAATCTTACAAAATAAGTATTCCCACAAATGGTTTTGACAGGAAATGGCCCACAATATCTGTGTGAATGACCTTGAGCAATGCATTACTTTCTTTTAGCATCTAATTTTCTAGTATTAGTCATCTTGCCCTTGATGCAATCAACACATTCTGCAGCAGTTTTAATGTCTATTGCAGGGATCAAATTCATTTTTAGACAACTGAAAAACTCTTTCTTTTGAAATGTGTCCTAGCCTCTTATGCCAAAGTATAAAAGATTGATCAGAAACATGCATCCTCTTAGTTGCAGTATTCAAAACATGTAAGTCCTCAAACTCTACATTGCACACTGTATTTTCCAAAGATGGTCATGCTGAAATGCTTTTCCATGTAAAGATCCCCTTTTGAAAAACTTGACACACTCATCATCTCCCACAAAAACATGCCCTTGTTTAACCAGTTTTGATGCAAAAACGAGATTTCTTCTCATTTTTGGGCACATATAACACATCATTCAGTTGCATTGTAAAACCAGTGTCTAATCTTAGTTTGACAGTGCCTATGGACTCAACAGAAACTTTGGTTCCCTCTCCAACGAAAACATTAAAACTATTTGTCTTCTTTTGTTCTTTAAAACCATGCAAAGTGTTTAATGATATGCACATATGCGCCGGTGTCAAACCACCAAGAGTTTGTGGGAATATCAACAAGGTTTGTCTCCTCACGGACATAGACATCAATTCTACCTTTTAGATCTCAGCCACTCCTTGAATATTTCGCAATCTGTTCTATAGTGACCCTTAGTCTTGCAGTGATGACATCTAATCTTTTCAACACTTTTAGTTTTTACCTTAAATTTATTAGACTTAGAGGAATTGAAACTTTTAGCAGGCACACAACAGATTTATCATAAGATTGTGGTTTAGAAGATTTACCAACATTGGACTCCTTCTTTCCGTTGGCAACTTGGACAAAATTGACAATTTCAGGCTCTTTTCCATTTTCTTGTTTTTGTCTGTTCTCTTCTTGCACGCATTGAGCAATGAGTTCATCCACTGTCCAAGTCTTGCCTTGAGTGTTGTAGGACACTTTGAGTTGACTGAATTTGAGCGGCAATGCTTGGAGTATCATAAACACAAGTTGTTTATCTCCAATATTAACTTCCATGGAGTTAAGTTTTTCAGCTACATCAGTCATTTTCAGAATATGATCTCTGATTGATCCTCCACCTTCAAATTTATAAGAAGTCAAGAGGGACATATATTGAGCAATCTCAGCCTTTTCTGATTCTTTAAATTTGTTCTCAATGGCTTGGAGATAATCTTTTGCAAGAGCTGACTTCTTTATCCCACCACGCACAGTGTCTGTCATACCACTTTCTAGTATCGATAGTGTCACTTTGTTGGCCCTGGTTCATCTCTCAAAATCAGCCTTCTCAGCCTTAGTGCTTTTGTCTGTTAAAGCCTCAGGTTGTGGATTGTCAAGAGCAATGTCATACTCATTTAGTGTCAAAAGCAATTCAATCTCTCTTCTCCATCTTTTGTAATTGCTTCCACCAGTGAGTATTGGCACTGCTGCTAAGTTCAGTGATCTTAGTGAAATTGCATTAGACAACAATGAAATCATCACTATGAATCTTAAAGATTCTTGATTTCAGTCTTTTCACTACCAAACTTATTCATTGAATCAACTTATTCATACATATGATCTGGTATTTTAAAGACACACATAGAATAAGCAATTCAACGGGATTCATCAATATCTGCATTAGAGTCACCACAGATTGCACAATATACATATATATAGTCTCTGATATCAGATATATAAGCGGAAGCATCTTTCAAGAACAATCTGTATTACTTTTGACTTATGCCAGATAATCATACATGAATCATTTCAATGTTCTAATCCTAATCCCAAACAGTCTATATAATTTGAAATAAATTCGAATTTCAAATTCATACCTTTTGTAGTTAACTTTCAAGATTCGTCAATTTCAGCATCTATTTCGACTAAGAATCATGAATCAGAGAAGTAATTAGGAAGAAAAGGGTCGATCTCAGATGATAAGAGAGAGTCCTCTTCGAAGAGCATACCAAGCGACACCGTTTTTACCTTTTTTTTTTTATGACTTGGCTAATGGCTATTTTAACGAAAACGACACCGTTTCTAACTAAAGGCTCTAAGAACCCTAAGAGCCCAGTTCGAAACCCAGGTAATATGTTTTCATGCATTTTTTTTTTTTGGTTGAATTCAATGGTTGAACCCTACTGACTCTGATACTACATGTAAGAACAAGTTTATAAACACCTTATTCAAGAATCAAAGATTCATCCAATTGAACCACAGCCAATACAAATTTTGTATTTTAAACAGATATAAGAGTCAAAATCCTTTGAAACATACCTGCACTATTTGATCCTGATGAAGAAGCCATTGCATCCTTATTGCTCAAAACCTTCTCCTCTTTTAACGATAACAAAAACTCTTCTAATCAATAGGTCTTAGAACTCTACAAGCTTACAATCGCAAGAGCATGGGTTTGAGATATATATATATATATATATATATATATATAGCATTCCTCTGTCCATTCCCTATCAGAACCGGACTCAGACTCAAAGCTACAAACCAAACAGAATTATGAGACACTATAAAGTTCCAATACCGAGTCTTATTCCAAAACCAATTAGAACTTCTCTCAATCCTGTTAACCCAAATCATTGAGGATATCTTAACTACTTTAAACAAAAGACTTTTCTATATCAATCTTAAACGATATAACCGGTCCCAACCTATATTTCATACTCACAATCTTACATGGAGGACTGGGTGATCAAGTATTAACTCATGTTAAAAGAAAAGGTAAACCATGAAAATCCCAAAGTGATATCCCATGACCTACAACTATTTTCTTATCAATCAAATCATTATTGGAAGCCTACTCGGAGTCTCCATCTCTTGGAAGGTAATTTTGGAGTTGTTATTGATTTTTGTGAATTATTTGATATGGGTTCTGTTTATTTGTCGAGTTAGATACTTATTTATTGAAATTTTTTCTTTACTGTTGATTTTAGGAATTGATTGATAGGTTTGGTTTCTGGATTCTCTTTCTTTGTGGAATTTTTTGATGATTTTAATTCTTAAAATCTGGGTTTTGTTTATTGATTGCAGTGTTGTATTAATTTGCGTTTTGTCTATTGATTTCAGAGTTGTATTAATTTGCGTTTGATTGGAAGGGCTGCAGAGATTTGATTCAAATTGGTGGATTTGGGTAAGAAAGAAACCTAAATCTTTTCTTTTGGTTTCAAAGCTGAACGGACATGCTATGTTTGCATACGTGTTTAGATTTACAAAATTTTCTTAACATGCATGCTTCAATGGTAGAATAGAATGGATAGAACATGTACGGTAGCTCGCTTTTAGATCTTCATTTTAGGTTGAACAATTGTTTTCTTATATATCTTAATGGTAGAAGAGAATGTATATATCTCATTGGTTGTAATGGTAGAAGAGAACGGACATATACCGTCGGCTATAATTTATGTTCACAAGATTTTGATATCATCATTTTGAACGTTTTGCAAGAGAATGGATGTATAGCCGCATGGATAGGTGTAGTGGAGAGTCAACTTTAATAATTCTTAATCCCATTCGTTACATATCTGGTAGAAACACTATCAAATTGTACATGCAGTATCTGTTGCTGCAGGAGGAGGTTGGAAAGGTATTCCTTAGCAAAATTGTTTGTATAATTAGGTATATACAGGAACCTTTTAGGACTGTAGCCTTTTGTCAAATGAGCTTTCCAATTTATGATGGCTGCCTTTAGAGTTAGATTGGTTTAGTTAGCTATTCTCAGAGGTATGACAGCAATATGCATCAGTTGAGAGGAATTCTGCTCTTCTCGAACATTTCATGCTTTATGGTCTTTGTACTTTGGTTGATAACTTTTCACAACTTTTGTCATTCTCTTTAGTTTTCTTCATAGATAGTGTCCGCGTTAGTGTAATTAGAGTTAATCATCTGATACCAACAAGCTAAAATTCTATGTTTGGATTGTGTGAGAGACTCAGTTCTGTGAATGTTCTATTTACTGTGTTTTGTACTGCGATGATTGGTTGATTTATCTGTTCGTTTCAGAAACTCTGTTTTTTTTATATTTTTTTTTGTAAATGAGTATATTGTATGTAAAAATCTTTCTAATGTTTTTCATTGTAAATTTTCGTATTCTTCTATGATACAATCTTTCATATAATTTTTTAATCCCAAATTCATAGAACTTGACATAGGCAGGTTTTTGAACTGTTTTCCCATTTCATTTAGTTATACTTTTGATCATCAATTTTGGAGTTGATTTTTTTATTTAGAGGGGTGATTGAAAAAAGGAAGTTTTTATGTACGGAATGACTCATAATTTGGTATGAACTAAATCGGTTTTTCTTTATATAGGTCAACATGACTGAATATATTAGCAGACTTGCAGTCATTGCATACATGGAATACAAGAAGGTTTGCAATTTGACACATTTCAACATTTTCGATTTTGGATTATTTGCACAACAATTGAACATTGTGCTTGATAAAACTGAAAAAAGGAAAATCAAGATAGGATTCTTGGATTTGTATCTGTATGAGCTTTGGTTTTAGTGACTTCTTAAATTTGGTCATGATTGACCGCTTTTTTTAACTCTGCTTAAATTGTTTTCCGGGAACCAGTCATTTGTGTTGTTTCTTCTCTCAACTCTTCGCTCTTAGTTGTCTTACTGTTGGAGTATGGATCTTGATTGATTTGATTGTTTTAATCTAAACTATTGGTAGTGATCTTTTATTTAATTATCATATTATTGAAAGAATGGCTTAGTACAATCAGATTTACAAAAAAAAAAAAAATATCATCAAGTTCTCTGTTACAGTATGTTGAGAATATGGATCTTGATTGAATTGATTGTTTTAATCTAGACTGTTTCATACAATTTCCAATTCCGCAGCAACGCAGGGGCATAAATCTCTAGTAAACTCTAAGTATTAGTGAATCTATCGTTTTGATAAGATACGCATCATACGAAACTAATTTCAACGATCAGACCATCAAACGTGTTTGTAGATGCTTCAAGATCGCATACACCAAAAATCGTAAAAAACAAACATTCAGAGATCAAGTAACGGGATAGAACTTTTCGATGGTTATAAACGAAAAATCACAATTTAATAGTTATGTTAACTTCGATTTTGTTGATTTTTTTACAACTACACTCCTTGACCATATATGAATACAATGAATGAATTCAATTTTCAATTTAAAATATTTACACAAGTGGATACCACAAAATCTTATGTTATACTTAATAAAAGTATAAATAAACTCTAAGTGTTAGTGAATCTATTGTTTTGATGGGATACGTATCATACGAAACTAATTTCAACAATCCAACCGTCAAACTTGTTTGTATAAACTATTTCATTTTGCATATCTTTGCACATTTAATATTTTGTAATAGACTAGTAGTGTATGATGTTTTTTTATTAGACTCTTATTTTCGAGTGTAGATGTAGTACTTAAAAAACAAGTGTGTTTTAATGTTTTGAAATAATATTTATGGGGTAATGTGTGGTATGTGCAAATTTATGAAAAAATATATTTTTTAACGGGTCATAACGGATGTGATATGACACGACTTATTAAGATAACATATGTGATATGACACGACCTGTTAAGATAACAGGTGTTACACGAAAACGACACGAACATGTTGAAAAATATATGTATTTTGGTTTATTTGAATGTTTGGTTTTCTGGGCTTAGCTCGTTAGAATTAGGTTTTGTTAGAAGTTAGGGTTAGTTTATTATAAATAGAGTGCTTTGTTATTTAGTTGAGAATCAAGTCATTCACAATGTAGCCTCTTAGGG